TAATACAATACAAGACAGCACCAGTGATATCAGTTTTCCAGGGGCTTACCAGTGTGGGACTGATTGTAGCTTCTGCAGGTTGTAGAGGACGACAATTGGGTGCAATATCTAATGCTGGTTGACTGGCTTCAGACGATGAACCAACCGAAGTCTTGGTCGTCCTAGACAACTGGTTGCGGACTTCGATCAGCTGCTGAAGGCGCGTCGTCTGTGCTTCGGATGGGTTTTGTAGCTTTTGTATTGCTGTGATCTGCTCATCCAGCTGCTGCAGTACAGTAGTAGCAGACGCCGAGCCGCCGGGTCTATTAGTCCGACCTCCGGCGGTCGGCCGGCGGGTGCTAGTAGGCGTAGCTGGCGTGACGGATTGTCCTCCGTTTCCAGGAATCGTGGTGCAGTTGGTGGATACCATGGGGGATTGTGGCCTAGTGCAGGGCACGGTTGTGTAAGTTCCATTAGGCAAACGAGTCACGGTCATTCCACCAGGAAAGGCTGTGCTGATGGGTTGCATACAACTGACAGGTGCCATGTTTCCGCCAAGTGTGCACGGTTTTGCCAGGCTCTGTAGAAATACGGGGTAAGGGACATTTATACTATCATTAGATGGAAGACAAAGGCTTTTAAACTGGTCAAATTAGAAACGGGTGAGAGACGAGGTAGTTACTTTTTGCAGTGATAATGGGTGGTACCAACAGGTGCTGTAAGTCGGATTGCTGAACAACCAATAATGGTGTTATGAGAAAGTGGCCGCCAGAATCATCGACTACAAACGAGCGCTAGATACCGAGCGTCATTAGGGAGTAAACCACTGCCCATATGTTATGACCACCACAAGTCAATCAAGATGGTGAATGTTAGGCGGAATGCTACACCGATAACGGCATAGTTAGGCGGTGCTACGGCTGAGAAGCCCATTCCGCACATTGGCCAAAAGTTTGGGCTGCTTGCCGATCCGGTATCAACGCGAGTTGTGATTGGTCGAAAGCCTGAACCTAACAGCTGATCATGACCCAATACTCGTCGAATGCCGGTTGTCAGTGGTTCATCCAGAAGGCGTCAGAGATTATAGAATGTTGTCGCGGCATACACCTTACATACGACGCGCTGTTTTTTTAGCCAATTTTGGGTATTAATGTACGCTGTGCACCCTTGACGGTTGTTTTTGACGGGGAAGCTAGCCTCGGAAGTTCGTATCGAGAATTAAGCTGAGGAAAATGTCGTTATTACAGTGAAACGGAAGAGAATGTGACCGGTTGTTGAGAACTAAGGTTCTTCAGTTCACCTTCGGCGCTACGGGACCTTAAGAAGCAACAACGGCCGGATTGTAGCACCTCATTCACGATGTAGAAAGTGTAGAAGGCTGCCAATCAGAGCCACCATAGTGACCATTCGACCGAAACGACCTCATTCACTATTTACATGCGCTTAGAGCTGAGCTTCGCGGAATCCTAGTATCGTTTTTATTCGGGTCAACCTATTCTATCTACAATGGCTATTTATTATTATTATATTCATACGCTTCATCAATACTTGCGGGATAGCAGACCGTCGCGGAGCAGGTACGTCGAGCGATGCTTTACGATATTCTTCTGGGTCTGGTGTCAGAGAGTTGTATTCTCTTGTTTTTCGCAACCAGTCACTATGTAAATTAACACACATATTACCTCAAGTATGAACGTCAAACTAAACTGCTGATCGACTGAGAACTAGGCCGATCGGGAGAAACTAGTAGTGTTTTGTGTTAAATTTTGGCGACCGGCCCATGCCATTTGCAGCAAACGAAGGAAACTCCATATTAAATCCACATTTATCTTTGGCTGGCTACCGGATGCAGAAATGTATACACAATTGAAGTGAGAATGGTACTGTGTTTTATCCCTAGCTCCAATTAAAGACTAACGTTGGAAATATCCCGAAGTGACATTTCAAGGTCACCGTTTGACTCTTGGTAGGCCGTCTAGCACCACAAAATATAGCCATCAAAAGCAAGAAGAGGATTCAACCAAGTGATACGTATCTTCTTGTACTACCTAAAGCATTTTTGAGCCGAAATCATAGACTACTCAAAAACGTGCTTTTGAAGTAAGGTAAGAGGCAGAACCGCTGTGGAAAAGTTAGCCAATAAATGTGCTAACATTGCAAAAGAGATGGATTATCAGCTAACACTGAAAACAGGTTTCTGTGGTTGGTCAGCCGCAAGAAGCATTAGGCTTCACCAGAAGGGCTTCGAAAAGTCGACCACGTGATTGTTTGGTCATGGATTGCAAATGAGTCACGTATTCGCTGCCTACAAATGTGCTGCTGGTGATCGGCTAACCAAATCACCGCCCAGCGTACCTATTTTCGTTCGGAAAGTGAAGATAAAGGCTTCGTGTGCCTCGGCTTTTTGATGACCGGCTCCATCTCCGCCGCGTCTCAATTTCCAACCTCAACACGGTGATTCTTCGGTCATATGCCGAAACTGACGAGTGGTTAGGAAAAAGTAAGTAATGAACTGCATGATCTCATCCACACACAAATTCCGAAAAATTCAGTGAGTACAAATGCCCCAAATCTCAGTAGGCTGCTGCGCAAGCAAACGATGAAAATCAAGTGAATGATTTGTGTCCCAGACAAATCAGCAGCTTCCGACCGGAGTGTCACCACAGATGGGATCACGTATTTATGCAGACTTGTCCGTCGGTTTTCCAACTATGTGAATCTGGCCAATGAATATATGCCGAAAAGAATGGGAAGCAATGTACTGCTGTTTCATCCTTATTGAGAATCATCTGCAGTGCGCGTCTTCCGAAACTCCTGGGAATTTTGAACTTGCGACTTTCAGGGTAGTAGTTGCACAGCAAGTCATTCGATCACCATCAGTGGACTGTTCAACCGATCAGTTAAATGATTAATTCGCACTTAGTGGCGCTATATCCTACACAGATGGCACAGAATGGACTCGAAAATGCTGTCCCTCGGGATCGGTGAACTACCGGAGTCATTGGACAAACTCCACCGAGATAAGTAACCAGCCTCTTGCGAACACTCAGTCGTCACGCCTTATCAACTGAGTTCGTTAAAGGACGACACACCTCACACAATACATTGGTGAAGCGCCTCGAGCAGAAATGGAAAGGCATATTTTATCCGGCAAACAAAAACAGCCACCACCTCACTAAACAGCAAGTATCAACACAAAGTTTAGCCACTACTCAGTTATGGAAAGTAGTCTTATGTCAATGACTATCTGAGTGTCTCTCCGTCACCCTCGGTTGTCAGGTATGAAAGCGATAGATCCAGGACAGGTTTATGGAAAGAACACAAAGAATTCTATACAAGGTTCAAATGCATTGCCAGCACAACCGTATGGACCCAGGGTCTGTCTCACTGACAGTCAGCCGTGATGGATCTAGACGCCACCGTGTGCACTCCCCTAAAATCAGATTCACCTCTACTGATTTCTCCTCATCCGGCAACCAATGTGCAGCCAATCGACAATGGATTAGGCCGGAAATATACGGTTATCACAGCCATACTCACAATTGAGCGGTCGTACTTCGTTAAAAACCACGTTGAAATCAATTGGACCAAAGTGGCAGAGGGCAACAAATAAGATCAGAATGCGAGAATCGTGTTGGTATTGCGGCATCAGTCGGGTTGCTGAGACTGAATGCAAGAAACGGTTTCAGATGTAAGCAGTGATTATTGTACACAAACGTCCAGTATAAGTAATCCCCTTGAGTGATGAGTTCACCAAAACTGGGAATTTAATAGTATTCGAGAGGTCACGCCGTAACTCCCTACAGAGATTCGGCGAGAAAGTGGAGGTACATGAGCGTTGTCATTATTTCCGATGAGCTTGTGCAGTGGTAAGATGAAGATGACCTATGTTCGGTATTGAGCTCGTCCCTGAGAAACAGGTAACAACGGTCCTCAGTGAGGTTTCCATTATAAGGTGGTTGACTGTACTTGAAGCCAATGTCATGATCGCGTCTGAGTAACTGGAAAGCTTGCTCTAATTCAGGAACGGATCTGAGGTGACTGGGAGTTAATAGGTGCAAGTTAGCCAACCCCAAAATCCAGGTCAGCTGAATACCTGGCTCCAGAACAGTGCTGTATCAAGGCCCTCAAAGTTATTCTGTAGATATGCGTACGTACATATACGTTGCGTATATGTGCGCACTTGAGCACCAAGTAGGCCGTCTTTGTCCTTGGCTTCTGCTTCAGGGAACAGGGGTTCAGTTCAACTCTGAGAGCGTATCGTCCGTAGGATTGGAAACACTAGTCGTTCGAATTCTTCAGTGAATTCCACTTCTAGAAGTTGTGACAAACAGCAACAGCAGAATATGAAACCCACGCTTCACGGCTGTGTGAAGATAGATTGGCCTTTCACTGAGACGGTACTGTAGTGATTAAGAATCGATGTAGACTGATTATGTAACATCACAGCGCCGGCCACTACAATCAGAGCATTCACGAATTCTTAGTCGTTCAGCACATCATAGTGGAATACGTCACTTTCCCGATCGTACACTGGACCCAACCGAACGAATTGCAAAAATAATTAGTAATGTTTTACTACTTTGAACGAGACATAAGTGGTGAGCTGAAGGGGTTGGTTTCCTAGTATGAAAAGTGGATCGTGCACAGGATCGTACCACAGGGACAAACAGAGTCATATTCTGAATGACAGCAGTATGAATCAATAAACAGCAGGAATTATGAACCGGATGCCATCCACAATACCGTCTAATCCTAAGGGCACAGAATGGACTGGTGTCCGCACAACGACAGCCTTCTGGACAGCGAAATGCCGCAGTAAAAAGTGAAGAGTGAGGATTGAGATTGGCATAAGCAGAGACATAATGAAAGCACCTTTAAGCATTCAACGCAGAGGCGACGCGGTTATCTAATGATTATTTTTATCGGTAAGTGGGACTGGAGAAAGTGATCATTACACTGAGTAGTTAGTGGAATTCAATCACTACGGGATATTCGATTTCGTCACTCCTCTTTAATTTGTTCTTGATGTTCAAAAAGGAAGATTGGTTGTTGTAACAGCTTGCCACTTGGAGCTCCCCTCACAGAAAGGAGTCTCGAACGATTATTATGCAGACGGCGTAGTCCTGTCTAAACATGAACCCCAGGCAGTTCAATCTACCTTGAATATACTGCCAGAAGAAGCAAGTCGTTTTAGCTTCTGATATTCACCATCTATGTGCGAATCGCTTGTACAGGCCTGGGTTTCAGCACTACCTCTGCTAACTCTCGTCTGGAAGTTGTGGGCTGCTTCATTCAGTTATAAAATCGAATACCAACCAACAGACATCAGTTCTGAAACATTCCAAGCTTCGACAGCAAGGAGGGCTTTTACCGAACCTTGAAAAAAGGGTGCACAAAAGTATAGCATGCACCTGAACTTATGTACGTACATACATGAAGGGTGGCCACTGAGTACGGACGATGTACGGCGACTGTCCACATTCTACCAATGCCGCTGACGGGGTACCCAGCGTATTAGGCGACAACGAGGGACGAGCACTATAGGAGTACAGTGCCGTGTTTCGATGACCAGCAAGTCAGAAACGTGCTGTGTAGGATCTCACAATCAACTTCGGTCGTTCCACTGCGTCTTAAGAATGTAACCTCATTGTCTACTTAGATGTTCTGTAGTTGGCCTAACTGGTCCGAATTGAGAGGAACATCGTGAAGATCAACCGACGAGACTAAAATGACGATTAAGTTGACCTCAGCAACTCGGGCGGACGAGACCTAGTAGTGCACTCGTTTTCACGTCGTGTAATTCTGTTTTATTTCCCCGCAGGTTCCTGTGTGAACTGAAGGCACGCAGTGCCACGTTACCTGGAACAATGGTCCTTCCGGGCAGTGTACAGTATATTTGTTACTGGGGGGTTGTTCAGTGACTTTTAAAATGATTTTCCTGAAACCAGTTAGTTTAGCCGATCCAGTGGGGTTAGAACTGAGAATCAACATCGAATGACGGCACCACGAATGTAACATGAATGTGCAGTACCCAAGGAGGAAAGCCATCACCTGCGTTTAACATTCCAGCAATGTGCTATGTGTGTTTTTTATGGAGTGCTCCTAGGATGAGAATCCGCTTGTAACTTCACAATATTGTGTAACGAAATACTTTACTTACTCAAACCGCTACGTCCAAATAATAAATACCGGGCGACCAGCCGGCATTTGTGCTCCGGATTGAGAAAAGCCCACAAGACAGGCATGGACAAGAACGTAAGACGACAGATTTTGTCCCGATAGATTAAGGACAAATGAATGGAATAGAGGATAGCAGAAAACTTCTCACCATCGTACTAGCCACAGACGGTGCGTTTGACGCAGTAGCACCCGAAGGGAAAACTCCGGAGACAGTGGGTAACGGCATAGGAGAGGATATAAGGACTGGATGTCGACCCGCGACAGCTGAACCCATGCAAGGCATCTGTGGTGCAGGTTTCAGGAGTGTGTTGGACTGCGGCTGCAAAGGGGTCCCAGGTGTTGTACAACTAGTAGCATACACCGACCCACCCAAGTTGCTAGCTGCAGAAGGAACCTGGATATAGAAGGCCTGAAACAAGATGGGACGATTGTAGAAGGCCAAGCAACCCCATATCAAGGAAATCAACATCAATGAGAAACTAGGTGACATAATCGAGTGCTGCTCAAAGAGTATATCCTGGGTAACACACAACTTAGACATAAACTACATGCTCGATTAGCGTTAGCGATTTAAAGCGAACCTTTCATTCATTTTGCTCCATTGAACAGGTGAAGTGAAGGCTGCCTTAGAGTTCAGTTGGGATGCTATTTATGATATCTAATTAGTAGAAGACTGGCTGAAATTAGTCAACGACCTATCGCCAATATCGCCATGTTTGGGGTTCATTAAGATCTGGCTCAGAAATTAAATACACGGACATCTTGGTATACAAGAAGAGACTAAGATTTGAGAAGTACAGCTAACTGATGACCCTTCAACACGGCGAAACAATACTACGGGACACAAAAACTTCCCGCAAGAAAGCCATTTTAGGAATATACAGAATCAGACACTGACCTGTCCAGGAGGAGGTGTGACTATGCCTGTGGACTGCTGTTGATGCAGAGGAGGCGTGTTCGAAGTTGATCCAGAGCCCGGAGGTACAGATACGGGAAAATAGGTCGCTTGAGCTCCAGGTAGACGAGACATTCCGGTTGAAGTAATACCCATTTGTGCAGCCTGTGCCGGAACAACAAATCGACCATCAGGAAGTCGGATGATGCAGTTGGCCGGTGGTTGGGCAGGCATAGGTACCCCAGGGTTGTTTGGTCCCGGCAGAGGCTGTGCCAAAACAAACGTACCAGGGGTGTTCGGTTGACCAGAAGCTAGCATCACTGGAGTACCACCCATCGCAGCAGGTTGTGCCAAGAAAAAGTTCCCATGAGCCCTTCAATTTGCGAAAATAATGAAAGATGTACATTATCAACAATTTCTCCAACTCCATCACAATCTTGAGTAAAGTAGGAAAGTATATATTGTCCATTGCTAGGACAAAACTGCAAAGCTACGGAATAGTACCGGAACTTACCCAGAAAAAATAACAGGCTGTTGTTGCTGTTGCTGAGTAGGCAACATTGCTGGAGTGAAAATCGTGTTTGGCATAGAACTGCCTGTTATGGGTACGGAAGCGTAGGAGACCGCAGGAACCAAATTCATTGCAACCGGTGGTGTGGAAATTGTTGCTACCGAATTGGATGGATTAAATGTGCTGAGAGTAAACGTAGGCGCACCAAAAGGACCAGGGGCTGCGGCCACAGTCGACGTAGGAAGCATAAGGTCCTAGTAGAATGCATCCCCGAAGATCCAACGGCCAAGAAATTAGGGAGGGAATAAACTCCTCTCAAAAGAGAGAAGAGACTCAACACAGAGAAAACCAGTGAATTGCAGATTTGCCAAAGAGTGCAGGGTTTATCCAGACCTACCTGCAATTAAGAAGGGATGGGAAGACACATGTACAGCTTGGAAAATAAGCTACACAAAGGAAAAACCTTAGACTAAAACCTAAGGAAAACATGAATGAGAAATGTGAAGCGGCTTCCATAGAACCTAGGGAAGAGGCGCTCTGATGTGAGCTAACTTAATCCAGTCGGTCGCAGGCTAGATAGGCCTGAAAGTGACGATATCATGTGGATAATTATTGGCTGATTTATATGAATCACCTGATCATTGCCAATGGAAATATATGGATTGCTTCAACAGCTTTTGTGCACATGGTGGGATTGGTGCCAACAAATCAGCAAATGCTGCATGATACATAATAAGAGAAAATTGATGAAAATGAGGAAGTGAAATGACTCATCACCAATGTATTTTCATCTGTTATGAGGAACCGTTGTTTGTAATGGAGAGTAAACTAACTGGCACTAAGAAAATAATGTGATGATATATGATAATAGCTAGAAATGCTCTCTCTCTGTAAGTGAGGAAGAGAAAACAGATAAAACAGGAAGACTAGTTGTCAACAGATTATCGCAGTTTAAATCCATGGTGGTGGGAGAGGAACAGGAGCACGAATTTAAGATCCGAATTAACGAAAATCTCGACAATCACACCGAATAGAAGATAACTCAAGGTCATGAAAAACGCAGGGATTCGAACGGGATCTTTTCTCCTTATCCTGTCAATGAATCCTGAAAAGCTAGTTAGCTCATCCGGAAAGCTACTAAGTGAGATGTGGGGAGGGCCCGCCGATGAAATGCCACGCATTACTCACCGACGCCTTTTTCGAATACCCACCCTTGCTGATTGTTGTTTCCCTTGCATATTTGCTGGTTTACGAAACAAGTGAAGTCATCCCTCACCGTGTATACGATTACCAGCAACTTTAGATGACTAGGGTAGCCAAGCGGCCCTTCGGACTTACACCTTCGACTAGACAACGTAGATGTAACATGCTGTCCAAAACCGCGGAATGGTGAATGTACTGTGGCTTTCCTTTCCAAGGTAACGATAAGTCCCATGAATGATGGGCGAAATATGAGTTATTAAGACCGTCAGTTAGCGATGCGCCCTAGGAATGCGGTTGAAATGGCTGCATAAAACATCTAACGTAACACAAGCGTTTTTGAGTGACATTCAAAAGTGTATGAATCATGGAACGAGCAACACTCACACCATTGAGAAAACAATTATTCGTTGATTGAACAAGCAAGTGCGACATATTTACCCACTTCCCCTCCATAGGAGTATCACTTTAATGCAGTGAAGATGTGCATGGTTTTAGTGTATCACAGCCCGACCTCGCTTTTCATTGATGCAGTCTATCATACACCTTTCAACGCTCAACCAATTAAGTCAAACACTTCCCTATTTCAGTCCTAGAGTATCTCGAAGCTACCAACTGGGACAAGTAGTGGCGGTTCATTCCTGGATAAGGGCGCGACCGCGGGTCGCAGCTGGTAAAAAAGACTAGCTGCATTATCGATCTCAGAGGATATTGGGGATTCAAATCTGAGTCAATAGCGCAAGTGCTAGCGAAATGCCCGAAGAGTTATCATACCGCAATCCTAACGGTCTGCAACCATTTTCTATGTTTACCGAGGATTATCTTAAGCGGGGAACGATTCATTATAACATACCTCCTGTGAGACTAGAGAGGGAAACGCTAGAGAGCGTGGTTGTCGAACCGAAGTACTGGCACGGTTACACAGGAGCTAAAACGTTTTTCACACATCAACCACTCCCGTCAACGACAAGATTTTCCGTTTATGGCGGTACTACGCCCAGTAGAATATCTATCAAATCGTACATACCCTCAGTGGAACCAGCAATACAAGATACTGCATGTGGAATACCATATAACGTCACATCAGCAGCGGCACTGCACGGAGCATCGGCTATGGGAAGACCGCAGAGACCTCAAATACATCCCATGCAAATTGACGTACCTGATTCACGTCTATGGCGTTTCGATGGACGCAATCATACCTTCAAGGTTTAGTATCAGCGCCGAAGCTGATCATTTTCAGTTATTCCTTTGGATTACTATTAATCACGCTTATTTTCGTGTAATTTTGCAGCTTCATGATGAGTGCTCCGTTTTTCGCTGTTCACCTGTTGCTCACACTTTTTTGGGTTTCATGGGTTAAAACTATAAAGCCGCACTCCAATCTAGCCACACATCACCTCATGTGAGTGATAGTGTTTGGTCGATGTGCACAAGTAAGAATTGTTCGAAATGGTGCTATTGTTTATTGGGACGGGTGAGGCAGTTTTTCCAAGTAATGAAACAGCATTAATGTGGGTTTGGAGAAAAATGAACTCTAGGCTGTCCAATGCTTGGGTATTTCAGTCCATAATAGAAGACAGCATCGCACGAGAAACAGAACATACGCCGTACTTAAATTAATTCACTTATGGTACCTGTCTCATGTGGTAGAACGAAGTAATGGGAATATCGTTTATTCATCGAACACTTTACTCACTCCAAGGAAGCTCTCTCCATTAAAGTTAAAGAAGCTTTATCACAAGCTTCTTCCCTAGAAGAACGGTTAAACTCGTCACCAAATACACAAATTCAGTGGTCCTCAAGCAGGAGGTGGATTTCCCTCCCTTGGAAAGGGGAATATCTTGAGATGTAGATACCTAGTTTTTGTAGCAGGCAAGCACCAGATGACTCCCCTTTTGTCCTCTTCTTCATTGGCGGACCCTGTTCGAACATGGTTATGTGATATTTCGACACGTGTCATCACAGTGATGTTGCTCTCAATGATGACGATGTTGAGGGTGATAACCAGGAAGAAGTTTGCAGTTTCGATGTGAATAGAAACTCCATAGGCAAGGGCTCAAGCCTTCGCAAGGCAGCGTGAGGCGGTTTCACGTTGTTAGTTACTTGTTAACATGTTTACTCACGTTGTTTACATAGGAAGGAATGGCGCTTCGTTATTTTCTGAAATGGGGGCAGGAGACGGAAGGGCTAAAAACTGCTTCATGCGAAACTCACTAGCAAAAGAAACCCTACAAAACCAACTACGAAAGCCGCTCAATGTGACACCGCACTCCTGTCGCACAAACCAAGCGAAGGCGGGATCACGGGGACACCATCCTGTGAGGCATACCGCACCAACACCCAAGCTCCTTGCAATCTCATTCACGCCCTTCTGTGAAGTCACACGCTGCCCACATAGCGGCTTCCGCCATTTTGAAGGAGGTATAGACGTTGTTTTGGCATGCGTAGCACATCGCCAAGCCACCGGGGTTGATGGAGCTGGATGTTCCCCGCGATTGAAGTACTTTATGTACAACCAGATATCCGTTTTCTAATTACCTCGCTGTGAATTTGTTTAAGCCACCCAACATCAGCAACGCTTCTGAGGTATTCGTGGTAAATAAAAATAATGATCAATAACCTGTAACACCCTTTCAGTGCCTAGCTGCCATACCACACAAAGGAAGCACAAGGGCTGGGATACTACCATCTTACCCAGACCTAAACAGAAGTCGAAATGCAGAGGTCGGACTAAAAACACGAACTTTCCGGTCAGTCAATGCACGCCCTAACCACAGTGCTATCTCGCCCCTTTTGTTGAAGTATCACTTCCGTTGAAACTTTGAGGCTTGTTGGCATTCTAACTTCGATTTGCTCAGAAGTGACAACACCGATAGGGAAGCGAGCAGTTTTCGTGGCGAATTTTACTGCCGCACAGGCACTGTGATAATTCGTTGCATGGGTAGGTGTGGTGCTTGCGTGCAACAGACAGACGAATGTTCAACGCTGCATCGGAAAAGTGCTCGATTGTGCGCGGATCGAGCAGAAAGTGAGTGGGGCTAGTTTGGTCCCGTAGATCCGTGTCCCAATTGAGTGTTTCTATGGTGGTTGTGTATCCTTGCACTGACGTACTTATTACTCATTACTTGCAAAGTCCCGGCGTTTCAAGTTTCAGCGACCGCAAATGCCGTGTAGAATTCCAACGAAGAGGCAAGGGATAATTTACTTAGACTGAACATTGGGTTTTCGGATCAGTTTAGAGAGCCTTTCTTTTTCTTACGTTGTATCATTCTCCGCTTGGCAACTGAGAAGAGCTTACTTTCCAGCTTATAGAATTTTTTAGAGCTTTCAAACGGCATTGTGCGAACAGCTACAGTGTGATTTGTGTCCGTCCTTGGATAACAATAAATCCGGATCTTGCCACTGATCATCGTTCAAAACCTTGTTCGAACGACATATGAATCTCGAAGAGAGGTAGTAGTCAGGGACGTTGATACCCTAAACTCGAAATACATCCACAATCACAAGTCGATGGCCAGACACAAAACATAGCCCGATGCCGTATTACCAGTACTTTTGGGATATTATATCCATCCAACTCTTTGGACCAACACATGAGGACGCGTTTTCCGGGACTGACTAACAAACTGGTTGCCACAGAGGAATCATTACTGTTTTACCCACGCTAACAACTTTGCCATCTGCGGACAGGATGTGGCCGATAGTGGCTAAAATCCGAAAGCCTTTAGTAAAACGAAGTACTGAGATTGTTTTCTCATATTACGATCACACTACTCAGTCGCGAAGTGGTTAAATGTGTTATTATCTCTAACCTAAGACACTGCACCACCACATCAACAAGGTTTGAATCCCAGCAATATCCTGTACACATGTCCATTTATTATTCTGAATGAGGCCGTATTTATCCAGCACATGATCTTATTTTCACCTATCAGTGCAAGTAAACTCAAAGTTTGAATGCTTCACGCAACCAGAAAATTTGCTGACGAATCACATTTATCTTAAGTGGTACAGGTGAATGAATTCGACGTCATCAGTCCTGCAACCCCCGATCAGAACGGCAAGTACTTATTTCATCTGCTCACGCTGTCAACTGGTGAACACCATCGTTTAGCTGTGAACGCGATTCCAAGGGGAAATAGTATTCCCAAAAAATCAATTGAAACTCGCCACCAAGCAGTGGCCAACTGTTTTCATGCACGACCGCAAGGATAGACAGCAAACTGCGTTATGGAACTGAACTGTCACCACTATGGGGTGGTCGATTGGGAAATTATAAAGGGGTAAAACGCAATTCCTGGTCGTTGGTTCCTGTGGTGCACTGGCCTAATAGCACTCGTCCTCGCAAGGTCACTGACGGGTAATCCCTATCTTTTATCCCCCATGATTAGACATCAAGGGGAAGCACAAAACATTGTTCTTGTTCATTTTTCCTATCTTTGGAGTACTATCAAGAAACCATACTGACCGCGGTTCCACCTTCATTTTCGCCAAATAACAGAAGTCTTCCCAAGATCAAAGTGTATGAAGGAAAATGTTGGTAGCTCGAGTTATCATTGACAACCGCCAACTCATTGTTACGCTCCAGTACACTCTCTAAAAACTCACTGACGATGTCACCTAGATTGGTGATGAAACATTTGTAATCAAATTGCCCAGCCCAGCGAACAAACCAACGACCATCAAAGTATATCCACCAAACTCATGACGACTAGGAAGCTCAGCGTGCGGAAGGGATCACCTGAGGAGCCATACTCCTGATTTGTGAAACCAGAAACTTGTATGCTGAGCACTGGAAGTTTGTTCTACTTGAGAAACTCCATTCCAACGTCTGGGGTCACTCGCTCTGTACAAGTTTCAAGACCGCTCATGCATAAATGGGTGACCGTAGTATTCAGATACCATCCATTCATTCAGGAAGCTAAGTTTATGGAAAGCACTCCCCCGTATGTAGATTTTCGGTTTTCACGCCAGAGTCATTACCATCAGGACAGACAGTAAACCAGTGTTCAAAGCGTTGTTTCAACATCAAACATCAAATTACATTGTAACCAGAGGTAGCTGCGGAGGTAGCCAGGAGAGCCCAACAACCACTTAGCGTCTATTTAAACCAAAGCCAGTATCAGCTTGCTATTTGTTCCTTAGAACCACTCCCTATTAGATTTTGTGAATGGATAAAAGTGGAACTTGAAATGATAGAGCTGCCTTTATAATCCACGTGTCAGCAAGGCAAATGTTCCCGAACAACGAAATCCCTTAAGTTAGTTGCGTAACCGTTTGCCAACCGTTTATCACCAACACAATTGGTTCCTTGATCATCTTTTGGATATTCATTCGATAATTCCACCTATTGTCTATCCGCGTCATATCATATCTCACCTCCACAGGCTAAAGCCAACAATGTTTTGATTAAGTCTTTTCGCATATTTCGGAATTGGATTGATTGAAATATAGTAACTCAACTGTGGGTATGTGTGGATTCGTTTGGTCACAACATAACAAAACCCCGATCCGTTTTGAGGTATGCGGACAATTCTCATTCCGCAAAGACTACCTATGTGGACCAATGCTCATAAGCTTCTGAGTTCTTTTGTAGGAGAAAACACATGATAATAAAATATATACACAGGAGCATTGTCAAAATCAAGAAACGCTGTGAACTAAGTCAACAGCATAATGACATAAGTACGTCATGTGCACATTGATTTTAGGTCATGTCCGAAATCAGTGGCCTGTTGGGTTCTTCACAGAAACATGTTTCTGACAGTGAGTATAATACATTGTGTTCGAGATGCCGTTGACATGCGCATATGGGAGACTATCCGAAAACGCTCCTACAAACCGATATCTATCTTTCTTACTCTAGTTCAAACTGGTAGTTCATTAAGTACTAAAGTGGAAGCTGACGGGTCTCTGAAACCTGGGTAGCTAAGCTTTAACTGGTGAAAAACTCGTCAACCTGGGGTCGTAATTAAAATGGTCGTCTGGTTTTGGCATAGCTGCCAGACAACTTGAGGCAAGCAATCTGGAGTCGATCAAGAGTCAACATAGAGTCCATAAATCAGATTCTCCCGAACGCCCATACGAATCTCAGACTGAACGTGTCTCCAGGAAATCGGAGGTAGGTGTTGGCGGTTGTAAATCGTCTAGCTCACCTTGAATGTGGTTGAGGTTTGCATACGAATCTCAGACCCGAGTTACATCGGGGGGAT